TGTTTTTATCCAGATGTTAAATGTGTGACAAAGTTGAGATAGTAAGCCAGAAGATTTAGACTAAAATAAGACCAGAATTGAGAAAATTATGGTTTAAAAGAGTTGCACTTTTGTCTTGTGCTTGCAGTATTCCCCTTATAAAAAAGGCAGCAAACTCACTAAAGCTCGCAGGGCCAAAGCTTTGGGCCTTGAAGAAGCTGCCATTGCGCTGATGAACACACCACACACCCTGGATCTAAGGGCATGGGTAAAACCTGATACTGAAGGTAAGAAAAAAAACTTTGACATGCACAGTACATGTAGATGAAGCTAAACATATCCCTAGGGCTCCCACAGATTCATGTGAACCTCAGTCTGCGTGGAAACTGCGCACATCGTCCTCAGACGGTTGAGACTTCATACTCGAGCATAGAGCTGAGCGATATGGACCAAAATTAATATCTCAATATTTTATGATAAACCGCGATATACGATATATATCTTGGTATTTTTTCTTTCCATAAAGTAATAACAAAAATATATTTCTGAGTCAAAGCTTCGTCCCAGTTGTTACACAGGCACATTTATTAACAAACAGCTGTAACTCTACAACATAAATGTCTAAAAATTAACTATTTACATATATTAGTTTATTTTTTTGTACATTTATTTACATATATTAAATAATAATCCTCTTCAGCTGGGGGCAGCTGTGGCTGAGAGGCTAGAGCAGTCGCACTCCAATGAGAGAGTTGGGGGTTCGATTCCACCAGCATTCAAATGCTGAAGTGTCCCTGAGCAAAACACTGAACCCCTCATTGTCTCTGATGTGTGTCCTATCAGTGTATGAATGTGACAAAGCTCAGATTATTCTTTGTAGAGATCTAGTGGAGTGTATGAATGGGTAAATGAGGACACAGATTGTGTAGTAAAGAGCTTTGAGTGTTTTGATAAGATAGAAAGGTGCCTTCACGTTAGTAAGTGTGTGTGAAACCAGTAAAGTGAGCCTTCACTCAGAACCGTGAAGCTGCAGCTCCGAGTGTTTTTTCAGCCTGCTCCTTGAAACAAACCACAGGTCAGAACTCATTTAGCCATGCTGAGGGAGGTGGTGACATTAATAAATCAGCAGTTTATCATATCGCTAAGACAGGTCCCAGTCTCAGTTGTGGAACAAGACGGCTAAAGCATTAGCCGTCTTGTTAGCCGCTAAGGACGTGTCTTAGCGATATGATAAGCTTCTGCTTTATTAATGTCACCACCTCTCTCTGTTTCTCTGATAAGGCACAGCACGGCTAAATGAGTTCTGACTCGTGGTTTGTTTCAAGGAAGCAGGCTGAAAAAACACTCTGAGCTGCAGCTTCACGGTTCATACTTCACTTCCGCTGTTTAAATGGTGAAAAGATTTGTAGTTCCAACCTTTCGTCGGGACTATTTTCAACATTGTCTACAGAATAATTTTTTTGTCCCTCATCTTACAATCTAAATCCAAACTAGCTCTGAAAGAACAGTCATTGTTTTGTTTTTCCTCAGCAGCAGCTGCTCTTCATATCTGCCATGTTTACTTGTTGTGGTAAACGTCTCCGTCCACCTCCTGGAGAAGCAGGAAGGAGGGGATGGCGGCTGAGGGGCTGGGTTTGTGTTCAATGAGGGAGAAGGAGGGGGGCTGAGTGGGAGGAAGAGACAGCAAGAGGATTTTCAAGTATTAAACTATATCGTTTTATATCGAGATAGTCTCAACTTATATCACAAAAAAATTATATTGATATTTTTAAAATATTGAGATATTGCCCAGCTCTACGTCGAGCGTCCACCCTGACCGGCTGCAGTCAGCTCCGCAGGTAAAGGGCGTTTACCTTCGGGACAAATTGAGTTTGCTGACTGGTCATTTGCTGAAACGCCTACTGGATCGATTGATGGAGCGAAATAAAAAAGAAGCTGGCAGCAAGCGGCAGCAGTGTTTTGCGTTTATATGTTGTCAATAAAAAGTTCTAAAAAATAAATGTAGGAGTTGGAGGCATTTTTTTTTTTTGCCTCCAACTCCTACATGTGTCCAGTTAACCACTGTTTTTGTCTGTCCAAACAGGTCTCACTTGTAAATGAGTCTTCAAGGCTCAATGTGATTTTTCTGTTTAAATAGAAAAAAAAAAAAAATCAGGGAGCACTGGCCCTGCAGCCCACTCATCAAACCGGCCCACCAGGAAATCTCCAGACCCTCCTGCAGCCACACTGGACCTGATTTTAATTATCTCATGACAACTTCCTTCATTTCTCACAATTTCAGTCATGGCGTCAACGGAGGAGGAGGAAGAGATCGCTTGCCTCTTGGCAAAAAAACAAAACAAAAGAAAAGGCCATTAAACCAGACCAGGGATGAAGAAGGGGAATTGGTGTTGCATACAAAACATTCTGTCGCCGGGCAGTTTATTGTGCGGCACAGAGTACACAGTCGTAAAAATTGATCTTTGTGTGGACATGCCTTGCGGGCTTCCGTTTCGAGTCTAATCCAGTACACGCGGCCCTCCGCGGACTGAAGTACGCTTGAGTCTGTGGGAGCCTTTAATATAATGCTGTTCTGAGGTTTTCCAAGTCTTAATCAGAATTTTTTTTTTTTAAGTTTATTCAGTAAATTCCTGATCTAAGTTCTTTATTATAGATTTGATCCATATTGTAGTAAATTAACAGATGGAAATGTGTCTGGAATTTGAAAAATGCAACATATACTGTACTGTATAATTTATTAGTATACACTGTCTTTTATTTAATGTGTAATAATAAAGCTCCACACAAACATTTGTTGTAAACACATTACGAGTTTGTGTTTGTTTGGGACAGGTCTGTCATCTGTAGAAGAAGTGGCTACAGGTATGGCGCATATCTTGGCAGATACGATAGCCAAAGATCCTGAGACACTCACTTACATTAAGACATTGTAAGAATCCATCCTTGTGTTTATTTGTGTTTGGCATTTTTCTGGTTTTCCCTGCAATAACTTTAATCAGGATTAAATAACACTACTGTGTGATCTGTTTCTCTGTATGTTACCTGTGCCTTTGTCTATTTCAGATGTGAGAGGAGCTTTGTGACCATCCAGTCATCTGTGTCCAAGACTGCGCTAAAGGAAAAGGAACAAAAGCAGGCTGCCCAAGACCACAACAAAGCCAGGGTTGAGCAAAACAGCAATAAGGACATTGACAAGTTTCATCTCTATTTTGACTTCACTTGCAACATCCAGCGCATCCAATCCCATCAGGTAAAGAAGCTCAGCTTTTTCAAACTTGCAGCATAGGTTGAAGTTTTTTAGTATGCAGAGACAGAATATTTCTGTCTGCAGCGTTTTCAGATGTCTCTATGCTAAACACTTGTTAGCAGTGCTTTTAATTTGAACTTTTTAGAATTGTATTATAGGAATTGAAGCTTTCTAAAAACTAAAATATTTTTTCAGTTTCTGAAAGATTTGTAAATGTTTTCACACCGTTATTTTAATCTTCCTAACCATCTGACTGGCATTACATCCTTAGACAAATCTTCCACTTTAAAATAGTTTAAAGGGTCAAGCACTAACACAGCTATGAAAATAGATATTAAAAACTTGCAATCTATTGCGTTGATTCTGTTGGACCACAAGTTTTTTACACTTTTATTGCAGGTTCTTTGAACTTATCTGGTACACACACGAACAACTGCACTCCGTCTGTGTGTGTTTATTTTTGTCTGCTTCTTACATGCTGCCCACGTCAGTCGCAGTTAGCCTTGTCTGTGCCTTCATATTTACCCCTCCTGTGCCCTGCTTTGCCTCCTCTGCTCCCCCCTCTGTCTCTGCAGTGACTGGTGGGTTACTCAGAGCTGGTCCCAGGCCTCATGTGTCACCACAGCTTCCATCACCCGCTGTCTCTGCCACACCACACTCTCTGGCAAACACGCTCTGCCCTACAGTCATTTCAATCACATGCACACACTTGCTCACTCACAACCGCAGCCTGCGAGTCTCCCTCATTCTCTCTTCTTAACATATGTGACATGTCCCCTGCCGACATGCCATTGGATTAGGAAGCTTTGATTGACAGGCGGCCTCCTGTAGTGACAGCTAGTGCTGCTGGGCCCACAGGCATACAAAAGGATGGAGAGGGAGTGGGGGCTGTAAAGAAAGCATGAACATACGAGTGATGCTTAGGTACATCTGTCCCTTATCTCCCCTCCTCTTCTCTGATCTGCATCTTCCCTCTTTTTCTGACTAAACCACATCCCTTCAATCCACTCCTCACCTCATTGCCCCCCCCCCCCCCCCTTCTTTGTGAGTATGCAAGGCATTTAATTTGATGACTCGCCTTTGTCACAGAGTGTTAATCCACAGGCGACTATGACCCTGCTAGCTGTCAGATTCCGGCTAAAACGAACCTTTTCTAGCCATGAAGTTGGCGGGGGAGGAAGCAGGTGGGAGATGTGTTTTGACAGAAGGCATGTGTGTGTTAGTACACACATGCCCTAATGCTTTAGCACATTTTTATTAAGCCTCAGCTCTGGTTTGTTAAAGAAAGAGAAATACTAGGGAGTTATTGTCTGTAACTGTCAATAAAACATAAAGCAAATATACACATGAATGTGTATTTTAGGATATAGTGGCATATATTAAATTATAAATAAGATATTAAATTAGGCTTTTCTTTTGAAATTTTCTCAACAATTAGAAAATACGCATTTTTGTGGCAGCATTTGAGAATTGTTGAGCTTAAAATACTTTACAATTTAATTTCCCTGATTTCTTCAGGAAATTTTACAATCATTTAATACTTTTTTAAGCCATAGCATAGGGCTGGATGTTATGGCCAAAACTTTTATCACAATATATTTCTTAATTTCAGTCTAACAATATAATTCTGATATTGATATAAACAATATAAAATCCTCAGAAAAACGTCACCACGCACTTATGTAGTCACAGCTGTTTCTGTTCGGTGAAGCGGCTGCTTCAACCCGAACAGAAAAAGAAATGCGTCAGTGAAATGCTGTAATCATAGCGTAATGTGTATTGAAATATCGAAAATGTGCTGAAAACTCGTATCACCGTTATTGAATAAAAGTATATCGTGATATATATCGATATCAAATTATTGTCCAGCCCTACCATAGAAATAGATGCACATATTTATGTAATTTAACTGTGCTTAAAAATTGAAATGACAAAATCCTTAACAAAGTGCGAGGCAGCTTAATTTTCTACTGCATGATTTGATTATTTAATCACTCATTTCAATCCTATAATTTCATTTTCTGGTATAAATAATTCAGAATGCAAAAAAGCCTGCCTCCTTGAGTTTTCTAAATTCACCAAAAGTTAGTTTTTAGAAAGCTTTGGCATTCAGCATGTCAGATAGCGTATTGCTCAGCCCAGATTTAATCCAGTTAGACTTGATTTGAGTCTTCTTTTGAAGGGTTCACATTTACCTTTTAGCCATCAGTAGCTGGTACGCTCTTGAGTATGCCAAGATAGATTTACTGTATGTGGCAGAGATCTATTTTCAAAGCAATTTGCATGATGATCAAATAAAGAGTTTAACGCTTCAGACTGGGGTTTGCCTGCAGAGGAGCTAGAGTGAATGGAACTGTTTCATCAATTAAACAGACCTGTTTGATGAACAGGTGGAGCACAATAGTTTAGTAAAGCCGTTTATGTGTTGTTGTTTTGTGGCATGCTAAATTATCCAAACTGGATTCCAAAAAAGTTGGGACACTAAACAAATTGTGAATAAAAACCGAATGCAATGATGTGGAGGTGCCTACATCTAATATTTTATTCAGAATAGAACACAAATCACAGATCAAAAGTTTAAACTGAGAGAATGTATCATTTTAAGGGAAAAATCTGTTGTTTCCAAATTTCATGGCATCAACAAATCCCAAAAAAGTTGGGACAAGTCCATTTTTACCACTGTGTGGCATCCCCCCTTCTTCTTACAACACTCAACAGACGTCTGGGGACAGAGGAGACCAGTTTCTCAAGTTTATAAATAGGAATGCTCTCCCATTCATGTCTAATACAGGCCTCTAACTGTTCAATCGTCTTGGGCCTTCTTTGTCGCACCTTCCTCTTTATGATGCGCCAAACGTTCTCTATAGGTGAAAGATCTGGACTGCAGGCTGGCCATTTCAGTACCCGGATCCTTCTCCTACGTAGCCATGATCTTGTGATTGCTGCAGAATGTGGTCTGGGACTATCGTGTTGAACAATGCAGGGTCTTCCCTGAAAGAGATGATGTCTAGATGGGAGCATATGTTGTTCTAGAACCTGAACATAGTTCTCTGCATTAATGGTGCCTTTCCAGACATGCAAGCTGCCCATTCCACAAGCGCTCATGCAACCCCATACCATCAGTGATGCAGGCTTCTGAACGGAGCGTTGATAACAACTTGGGTTATCCTTGTCCTCTCTGGTCTGGATGACATGGCGTCCCAGTGTTCCATAAAGAACTTCAAATCATGACTCATCTGACCACAGAACAGTCTTCCATTTTGCCACACTCCATTTTAAATGACCCCTGGCCCAGTGCAAACGTCTGAGCTTGTGGAGCTTGCTTAGAAATGGCTTCCTCGTTGCACTGTAGAGTTTCAGCTGGCAACGGCGGATGGCACGGTGGATTGTGTTCACTGACAATGCTTTCTGGAAGTATTCCTGAGCCCATTCTGTTATTTCCTTGACAGTGGCATTCCTGTTTGAGGTGCAGTGACGTTTAAGGGCCCAGAGATCATGAGCACCCAGTAAAGTTTTATGGCCTTGACCCTTACGCACAGCAATTGTTCCAGATTCTCTGAATCTTTTGATGATGTTATGCACGGTTGATGATAACTTAAAAGTCTTTGCTATTTTACGCTGGGTAACACCATTCTGGTATTGCTGCTCTATCTTTCTGCACAACAATGGTGGAATTGGTGATCCTCTTACCATCTTGGCTTCTGAGAGACACTGACACTCTGAGAAGCTCTTTTTATACCCAATCATGTTGTCAATTGACCTAATTAGTGTTAATTGGTCTTCCAGCTGTTCGTTATATGCTCATTTTCATTTTTCCAGCCACTTATTGTTACTTGTCCCAACTTTTTTGAGATTTGTTGACACTGAAATTTTGAATCAACATATTTTTCCTTTAAAATGTTACATTTACTCAGATTAAACTTTTGATCTGTCATCTATGTTATATTACGAATAAAATATTGACATTTGCCATCTCCACATCATTGCATTCAGTTTTTATTCACAATTTGTTTAGTGTCCCAACTTTTTTGGAATCTGGTTTGTAGTAATACATTCTTCATTTCTAGCAAGTTTACAAGGAAACACATGAATTGAGCTGTCTCCTCAATTGAACAAAAAAAAACTTACTTCCAATTAAAGAGAGGTCTAAACAAAAAAAAAAAACTGCCGTGTTTTCATTTGTACTGTCTAATAATTTTAATCTTACTTCATTTTTTTCATATTTTCAACACTTTTAACAGAAATGAAAAATGAATACAATAAAGAAATGCAGTAGGCATAATAAAATTTTCTCAGTATTATTCGAAGTAAGTGCAACATATAAATCAGGACCAAGTATAACAATATTAACATATTCTGTTTTATCATCTGATTGTATTATTTTAGAGGAGAAGCAAAGCATGCATTTTATGTAATTCAGAATAAATGGTTTTGTTTTTAAGTGGTAATCATTACTCTGAAAGAGAGAATCAGGAAAAATAATGAAAGTGAGGGATTTTTTATAGACAATTTAAAGCAAATCTGAATTTTGAACATCTTGTGCAACTAATTGGTAATCTAGTTAACGAAAAGGCACACTGCTGACATTTCAAACTGGTTTTGAGATCAACTTGTTGGTTAGTTTTGCTTCATTGTACCAAGTGAATCAAAACAGACGTTTTAACCTGTGAGGCAGTTTGCAGGTGACTTTAGTTCCATCTTTATAAAACCACATTTATTGCTGTAATGCTGTCTCAAAAGGTCAAGATCGTGCATATTTTCTGTGACTGGTTGCCAGTGTGCGTGTTTGTTTATCCTTGATATGGTGGATGATAGATGTGTTGGTGACAGTATATTTCTACAGAACAGATGAGAAAGAGGAGGAGACAGATAGTGGATAGTTGTTGGCTGTCTGCCCTCGCTTTGGGGGGCTGCTGAAGGAAGTAAGGGGCATCAAGGAAAGATTCTCATTCTAGTCTTGTCAGGTTTTGGCTAATATTTGACTTCCTGTCACGTCTGGTGTTTTTACAAGCATCACTCTGTTTCACATCCCTTTTTCAGATCACGTGATCTTTCACCAGTGACTTGACCCACACAGAAATCTTGATCTACACAGACACACTTTAGCCTGTTTATCATCAGTAAAGATGGCTGAAATTGTGTATAGCTAGAAATTGAGCAACTATTGAAAACCATAGTTTTAAGGGTGTAGCAACCAGGCAAATAAATTATTTTTAATTTATTTTTTTGTGCGTGAAAATATGAGATAAAGAATTACCAAATAGTCCAGCAACAAATGTGGAACGTTGCTCGATCATTTTAAACACCGTTTAATAATAGAGTTTACAGTAAAAATTACTTTTAAGTTATTAGGTTAACATTGAGTATTTATTTTTGCTAATTAAAAACATTGTTATTAATTTGCTGTGTATTCAGGTGATGTTAGACATTTTTCTCATCTTCATGTTTAGCCTGTAGATCTTGACAGCAAGTGAAGAGAGCAGAGGTGCTTTCAGGGATGTTCCAGTTATTTAGACATAAATGTTTTGCTTGCTTGCTTTGACAAGACGTTGAACTTTGGGGCTTTGATGAAGATTGTTTCAGAAATCCCACAACAGTCAGCGAGAAAACCCGAGGTGAAAACATGCCACCAGAAGAGAAATCTTAACTTTCATCCTTCGCTGTATTAATTCTGGCCTCTGCTATGCCATTAGCTGATTTAAAAAGTGTTTTATTTTTGTGGGTGTCTTGCATGTGAGTTTGCTACGACCAAGGGTGCTGCTGAGTGGTAATGGTTGTGGCACAATGTGTGGGAGTGGGTGGGGGTAGGCCTTGCGGTCTCAGAGCTGATGGTGGCATAGTGGTGGCATTTGTCAGCTTGCTTCTTCCGCTTGGGCTCCAGATTGACGTCTTGCTTTTTGGCTCTGTTCTGTGGCAGGCTAAAGGTTCCCGACTGAAAAGGTCAGACACTTACTACTGTTTGCTTAACAGCTTGTAACAGCTCCTCTGAGGGGGAACCAGCACAGAACACAACAGGCCGGTCCACAGCACATACTCGAAGAGATATTTGTTGTTGATGTTTATTTTTTAGACTATTGACTTGAAAACTCCCAGTTTTCTGTAGTTATGATATGCAGACAATGATAAACCCAATGACCCAAACCCATGACATGGGAGTTTTGTTCTAATTTTTTCAGCTAAGTTTAAAAAGAAAAAAATATATATATATTAAAATACTGTTTTTCTGTCTTATAACTACTGAAGCAACAGTTATAAACGTGTCATTATCAGCTGTCATTTCTAACCCGCGCCCGACCCAAAATTTGGGCCTGGCCAAATCATGTGCTGGATGGGCGGGCCAGGTCGGTGTCGAGCTTTTGATTGCGTCAGTGGACGCGCGCGGCCGTTTGGCTGTGCTCTGACCGGCCGAATGAAAGAGGTAAAAAAAAAAGAAGTCCAGATGGATCACAGTAGAGTTACATTCGTGCCCAAAAAATATGATCCGACCCGGCTCCAGCCCACAGTCATAATATCCGAACCCGACAAATTAACAGTAATTACAAGTCCGAACCCGGAACACACCCCCTGACATTTTTAATTATTAACGGTCGGGGACGCGCAGCTGAATAAAAGCGGCAGAAGATTCGGAGCGGAGAGGTGTTTGTCCTTTCATGGCCGTAAAAAGCATTTAAACCCTGTTTCTGCCTGCGTTCTTCAGAATTACTGAGACACAGCTCTGACACACGCGTCTGCTTTGGGATCTCACCTGTTTGGGTCGTTGGCCGCGCGCGTTCGCTGAGTGCAGCGGCTGAATGAACGTCCATTTGGGCAATGGATCATTTCCTGGCAGTACAGTTCCATCTGAATCTTAACGGAACTTTTTAACCTCTTTCAAGGCCGGTCAGCTCGCGGTGAAATGGCCGCGTGCAGCAGGTGGATGTATGACAGGCCATGTTATCATATAATTGGATCGCGGCTGATCCTGACCTAATTAAGAGCCCGAGACTGGCCCGGCCCACCCATTATTCACATTATAATGGCCCGGCCCATCCCTAATCCGGGTTGGACCGGGCCGGGTTTCAGGTTCGGGTTAGAAATGACAGCTCTAGATCACAGTGCCAGCGACCCAATCTTTACTGGACTCAGCCACTGCAGCTGTGTCAGCCGCTGCGCATGTCCACCGGCTGTTAATAATTATAATATTATTATAATCTGCTGACTTTTGTTAATAAGCAAGAAATCTTATATCTTCCTTTCTTTGAAATACGTTTTTAAATCATGTCCAACTGATTTGCTTACAAAAGCATCCATCCATCCATCCATTATCTTTACCCGTTTATTCCATTTTGGGTCACGAGGGTCGCCGGTGTCCATGTCCAGCAATCACTGTGTGAGGGGCGGGGTACACCCTGGATGGGTCGCAAGTCCATCACAGGGACACATAGAGACAAACGAGACAAACAACCATTCACTCTCTCACTCACACCTAGGGACAATTTAGAGTTACCAATCAGCCTAACATGCATGTTTTTGATCTGTGGGAGGAAACTGGAGCACCCGGAGAAAAAAACCCACGCATGCACGGAGAGAACATGCAAACTCCACCCAGAAAGGCCCTGGACCGGGGTTTGAACCAAGGACCTGCTCGCTGAGAGGCAGCAGCTCTACCAGTTGTGCCACCGTGCTGCCCTGCTTACAAAAGCAGTAAAAGTTTAATTGTTTATTTGTTGTGTTTTTCTGATGTAAAGCACTTCGAACTGCCCTGTTGCTGAAATGTGCTATACAAATAAACTTGATTGAGTGATTGACTAATTGATTAAAAAAAAAGACGTTTGTTTTTTGGGGGGGGGGGGGTCGGGCCTTTAATCACAGTTAATTGGTCAGTTTCAGGTCTGGCTCGAAAAAAAATGTTACAGGTTCGGGCCAGGTTGGATTTTTTTTAGGCCCGAATCCAACTCTAATCAGTAAATATCAAAATGATCAAACTTCTTAACTGAATAATTTCAACCACCTTCACAGGTTGTTCTTGTCTGTTTCAGCTGTTGTGTGTTTTGGCTTTAAGTGCGTGTTTGTTTTTAGAGACTTTACATGTTTTTGTAGCTAAGTTTGGTCAGGTTGCTTGCAGTTAAGGTATTTTGTGTCGTGTCTTGGGTCTGTTTTGTTCTTTTGTCGTTTTAATCATTGCTGTCAACCAAATTTCTCCCCGAGGGACAATAAAGGTCTGAACTCAACTGTGATTAAAATTAGTTTTGTACCTGTCTGTGTACAGACGCTGGCTATAAACCGAGGGGAGAATTTGAAGTTGTTGACGGTGAAGGTGAACATTCCCGACAGAGTGCAGAATGATTTCACTCTGTGGTGCCTAAACAACAGGTCAGAAACACAATAATCCACACGAACCATCACATTCTGACAAGCTCGTCTGCCACATTTAAATTACACTTTATAAAGGTTTAAATTCTCTTCTTTAAGACTGCAGGACATAGGACAAACAACTGGCGTATAATACATTAAATAATATGCACAGTCATGAATAACCATGATCTGTGGCTATTAGTTGAAATACATCACAGCTTTTAGGAAGATTTATTTAATATTATACATATATACATATATATATATATATATATATATATATATAT